TAACAACAAAGTAAACTTGAAGGAAAAAATCAACAACAAAAACATTACAAAACAATCACATGAGCACAACTTCCAAATTTGAAATAAATTCTTCGACACTGGCACTTTCTACTATATTTTTTGGCAGCTGGTTCCATGGGGTTATTGTCCTGGGAAAGAATGAAAATTTAAACGTATCATTATGCGCACGAAACTCCCGAATCATTTTGCCATTGTTAAAACGAGTATTTGCGCGCAATACTCGGGTTACGTAAAGGCACTGTTTTAGGTGATTTAAATCGTATATCAAGTACAAAAGTTTTAACCTCTTTTCTAAGCGGCGGGTTTGAAGCGTTTCAAGTCCAAGAAGACTGATCATTTCATTCACGCTCTCCGTTCTTTTATACCGGTTGCAAATAAATCTGGCTGCAGTCCTCTGCACTCCTTCAAGTTTAGATATGTTTTTCCTAGTGTGGGGGTCCCATAAACATGAAGCATACTCTAGACAAGGTCTTGCCAATCTTTTGTAGGCTGCAAGCTCCACCTGCCTCGGGGCTCCTGAGAGCTTACGTCGAGGGCCCATAGGGCTCTAAGTGCACTGGAGCAAACATTATCAGTGTGTTCGTTCCAACTCAAGCCTTCTGTAATTGTAACACCTAAGTATTTAACTGACAATAATTCTTTAATTACTTCCCCTCCCATGACCGACGTATGAATACTTAAGACTGATTTTTTATTACATACTCGTAAGATAGAACACTTATTAACATTTAGAACCACTCCCCAGTTTTCACACCAAATATTTTTTAGATTGTCGTTGAGCCTAGTTTGATCGGCTTCTGATTTTATTGTGGGGTATAAAACGCAGTCATCAGCGAAAAGTTTAACTTTAATTTCAGGGTCAAGAGTGCCGACAATACCATCTGGACCACTTGCTTTTTTAACATCAAGGTTAACTAGCAAATTAAATAGGCCTTCTTGAGATACGTTCAAATCCGTCATTGATGAAGCGAAACCTTCAGGCTGAAGAATATGATTGGTCCCTTTTTTTGTAAAAACTGACTGGAAGTATTTATTAAATTCATCGGCAATAGCTTTAGCAACCGTGACCTGTGAGCCTTCAATAGTTAAAGACATAAGATTAAACTTGCTTCCAGACAGAAACCTCCAGAATTTAGATGGCGCATCCCTCGGAAAATTACTGAGTGTTACAAAAAAAAGTCATCTTTAGCTTTTTTAATTGTACCCTTAAGACTGCTTAGTAGATTAATTTTCATTTCCGGGCGCCGAGGTGATCTTCGCATCCGTTTTAACTTGCGCTTGATATGAATTATTTCTCTGGTAATCCTTGGATTATTTCTCTTTTTCTTTATCTTATTTGGAACGAACCTCGTTATGCAATCAAAACACAATTTTTTAAACTTTCCCCGGAACATTTAAATCCTCATGTACAGTGAAATCATCCAAATGCATTTCTAAGTAATCTAAAACACTCACGTCATCTGCCCTATTGAACAACAATGGATGTTCTATTCTGATCAGTTCTCTTCGAAATGGAAAATGTGGCAAACACAAGTTTGTGGTCGGATGGGCCGTTGGTGACATCTGGTCTGGTACAATTAATTGCAGAGCTAACAAAAGGTAAATCAAGAGCTTGATGAAGCGCCGACTCTGGTAGGGGTATCAACGTTTTGTGCCAAGTCAGATGAGAAGGCAGTGTTCATGAGGAGTTCGGAATGCTTTACATTACTACCCGTGGCACTCGTATTCAACCAGTCAATATGCGGTAGATTGAAGTCGCCTGCCAAGATAAATTTTACTTGGCCAACCCGAAAGCTTTGCAAGTATAATCATACAAATCCTCAAAAAACACTAGATTTGCATTTGACGGTCGATATACCACACCAATTACAATCGCGTTACCATAAAAATATATTTTACGGAACACACTTCCGTGATTAGAGATGCCTGGTAGTAGAATTACTCTTATAGACTGACGCGCTGTTTACAAACAAGCCGGCGTTCGCCCACACCAGGTGTAGGCACTGCGCATGCGCAGAAACCGAATTCGCGTGAAGGGAAGCGTCTACGCATGCTCCGTGCCGTCGACAGCGCCACCACAGCTGCGTGACATCAGGGCCGCGTGTTGGTCTGTATCTACTTTAATTACTATAGCGACTCCACCTCCGCGGGATTGTCGATCACACCTGAGTATTCTGTATGAGGGTGGAATAATTTCACTGTCCAACACATTTGCAAGTAATCATGTTTCAGTCAGTAACATAACGTGTGGGTCAAGATCAATAAGGAGAGTTTCAAAATCAGTCACTTTATTTACATTACTTTGAGCATTAGAAGAAAGTAAACATAGTTGCTGGAGCGGTGTGCTTGTCATGCCGGTATCACATTAGTTCTCTTCCCTTTGGTCCCGCTTTTATCTCTAAAAAAAAGTAGGTATAGCCGTGTCATTTATCCCGACCCCGCCATCCCTCTCACGACTACCGTATTTACTCCAATATAAGTCAACCTTTTTTCTTCGGAAACATTGTCAAAAATTAAGGGTCGACCTATAATCGTGACCAAAGAATTTTGACATACATTCGCGACCAAATCTTGCGGCCCTACGGGGGCATGGAACTATCGAATCACCGAGCCGGCGTTGCCGTAGAGCCGCGCCGCTTCTTGTTTCAAAAAGCTTTTGGTACATGAAAACAATCGAAACAGCAGCAACCGTGACTGTTCACTTTGATTCCCAGCTTTTGTTCAAAGATTTCTGTTAAAACAGCTCCCCTGACTGAATTGGTTGTTCCTGTTTCATTTTCGCTGACGCCGTAAACAATCAAGTTCTTACGTCGACTGTGGTTTTCTAGAACATCAATTGTTTCCTTTAGAGATGCAATTTCCTCGTGAAGCTCAGTAACCGAATGCTCACAATTTTCTATCCCCTGAGCTGTTTTGTTCGAATGACTCTGTTTTCCCTTCGATCGATGCCAATCTTCTGTTTGTATTGGATATGTGAGAGTCTAACTTGTTTTGGATAGCCTTTAGGTCTATGGTGTTTGCCTTCTGATTTTCAAGAATCGCTACCAGTTGCTCAGCTATCTCCGGCCCGGGGTTCATTTCCACATCCCCGCCCAGGAGAAGAACAATAAAGCAGAATGAGTCAAAACAACTCGCAATAGAATTGCATAATGTGCCCTGGGCAAGGCAGCACAACCAAACACATAAAATCGCTTTTCAATTCCCAACCAGCTTGCGTCTTATTAACCTGTATCAAAAAGACAAACAAGTATAGCCGTGGCCACATGGTTCGGCTGCTGCCTCGTCCACTGGCGAAAAACGCTTGAGGGGCCGTGGCCGTTGGTCCAGTTACCAATGCTGCCCAATGAATTCTGTGCAAGACCGGAAAATGCACATGGCCACGGTCGAAAGTTCCGTTGCGATGCAGTCTTAGCGTCGTTGAGGGTTATCACTGGCAATTGCGCTCGTGACTTGCAGCAGCAGATATCGCTTGCGCTGGTGACATCTTCGTAGGTGACTGGGTCAACACCAGCAGCAAGAACCTGTATCAAAAAGACGAACAAGCTTAGCCGTGGCCGCATGGTTCTGCTGCTGCCTTGCCCACTTACACTAACCTAATGAAACACCCTAGTCTTACGAATTATTATAGCCCGCCTCAAGACGGTTTTTGTACAGAAATTTCTTGCACTACGCAGTTGCTGGAGTTCTATCACAACATTTCACAATCGTTCGATAAGGGCCGACAAGTTGACTGTATCTTTCTGGACTTCAAAAAGGCTTTCGACATGGTTCCTCAGGCTCTTCTTATCAACAAGCTTCACAAACTAAACATAGATTTGGGAATTTTCAACTCTATTGGTGATTACCTAAATTCAAGAAAACAGTCTGTGTTAATTAATGGTTTAGTCCCCTTTCATAGAAATAACATTGAATTCTCACAGGGGTCAGTACTTGGCCATCTCCTTTTTTAAATATATATCAAATAGTTGAAGGCGTCTCTTCACATATTCGATATGCAGACGGTTGCATTCTGTACACTGATGTGACCTGTGATGCTCAAGTATTCACTCTTTAAAGTGATTTAGATGAAATTGATGACTGGTGTATCAAATGACGCATGCCTCTAAATGTGTCTAAATGTATTAGCGTTAGATTCACTCGAAAAACTAACTTTATTCCTTCATCAGTTCATTGTCACGATTGTGGGTGCAGGCCCTTGTTCAACACGTGCGCGATTCTAGCCAGACACAAGGATAAGACAGTCAGGGAAATAATAGAAGCAGATTCGATGAAACAGTGTGGAGCACAGTGTGTCAGCGTTGCCTCCATTCACCTGTTAGACAAAGAGATGACGTTTTTGCGAGCGACGGTGAGGCCCGGGAATGGCTGAGGTGAAGCGGTTGGAGTGTATACATGTTCCCCGCTTTTTTCAAAAATAAACAGTTGAAGTAGCACTGTGTGTTGTCTAGTCTCCCTTTTGTCCTCGTCTTAAGCGCCATCATGACGTCAGATTCCCAGTACCAACTAAACAATCTGCATTGATTCTAAAGGTGTAACCTTTTCACTTGGCACCTTTTTCTGCATGATTTGCTTTGGTGCGTTGTTACTGGATAATGCCAACGCTGTGAAACAACACTGGGACGCTTGAGACACGACACACCCCGCGTTTGGAAGCCGTTTGTGACAACGGCCCGTCGTGCTTAGTCGGACACTCGCCGGTCGTTTGGGACGTTCTGTTCAAAACTGGGGCTGAAACTCAAAGTTTGCTTTCCTTCCTCTCAACTTTGACAAATCAAGAGATGGTGAAAACTGCAGTCCTAGAAAAAGGGGGGACAGAGCATTGTCGCTCATGCCTTTCACGTGTGTACAAGACCGCTACTGTGGACTGAGAACGAGTAAATTTTGGAACACTCACGTAGAGAAGCCAGTGTGTATGAAGGAGAGTGTTCTTGCTGGCGCCTCCGGAATTGGGCAGTCACCGAGGGCCCTGCATGGTGCAGAGTGCTGCCGGCTGAATGTGCGCAAGCTGGTGGAGCACGTGCAGCTGGTGCTCTCGGACGGAGGTCCGGGGGCGGACGTGCTGGAAGCCCAGTATGCACGCCTGCTGCTGCAGCTGCTCGGCTGTTCCGGGTGGCAGACGGCACTCCCCCAGAAGCTCTATGGCAGTAAGTGACATTCTCCCGGGGTCGAGGCTTGGGTTCGATTCACCTCGAGCGTGACGTGCATCTCGACACGTTGCACACGAAAGGCACCCAATTGCCTCTCGTGTCCAACGTACTGCATGCCGTACTGCACATTATGCATGTTGTACTGCATGTTGTGCTCACCCTCAACTTTAAAGTGGTTTTTGTAGCAGTTTATCGATAACGGTATTTGTTTTTATTCTGGTGCATAATTTCGAAGCTATTCACATTAGTTTACACTCGGGTTTCAACTTGCATTTATATTTGGAGTTTACAGACTTCACAAAGCTACCAACAAAGGTGCATTGAAGAAGTTGATTGCACAAACTGCAGCACTTCCAAGAAAGGGGCACAGACATGCGGCTATACACAACATATGACTGAACTCCAACTCAAAAAGTTTGAGTCGAATATTTGCCCCTTGTCCTTCCAGGAATGACAAAGCATTATTTGGCTAAAGGCAAATCGTGCTTTGTTTTAGAGCGCAGCTCTTAGGTGCCCGTTTCCGGCTTGAGCGGCGTCGCCGTCGGCGTAACTGCGCGGTTCATTATGGGTAAATTTTCCTGCTATATTTAGCGAAAAATTTCCCCTGCTAAATTTAGCGGAAAAATTTCCCCGCTAAATCTAGCGGAAAAAGTCTCCCCACTCAACCTAACGGAGAACTTTCCCCGCTAAATCTAGCGGAAAAATTTTTGCTAGCAGAAAAATTTTCCCGCTAAATTTAGCGGGGAAATTTTTCTGCTAGATTTAGTGGGGAAACTTTCCGCTAGATTTAGCGGGGAAATTTTTCCGCTAAATTTAGCAGGGAAAATTTTCCGCTAAATTTAGCGGGGAAATTTACCCATAATGGACTGCGCGGTTACGCTGACACCGTCGGCGGAAATTCGGTGTCGGCATTGGCGGAATTTATCGGAAAAATTTCCTCGCTAAATCTAGCGGAAAAAGTCTCCCCACTCAATCTAACGGAAAACTTTCCCCGCTAAATCTAGCGGAAAAATTTTTGCTAGCAGAAAAATTTTCCCGCTAAATTTAGCGGGGAAATTTTTCTGCTAGATTTAGTGGGGAAACCTTTTCCGCTAGATTTAGCGGGGAACTTTTTCCGCTAAATTTAGAAGGGGAAAATTTTCCGCTAAATTTAGCGGGGAAATTTACCCATAATGGACTGCGCGGTTACCCCGACACCGTCGGCGGAAATTCGGTGTCGGCATTGGCGGAATTTATCGGAAAAATTTCCCCGCTAAATCTAGCGGAAAAATTTCCCTGCTAAATCTAGCGGAAAAAGTTTCTCCACTCAATCTAGCGGAAAACTTTCCCCGCTAAATCTGGCGGAAAAATTTTTGCTATCAGAAAAATTTTTCCGCTAAATTTAGCGGGGAAATTTTTCTGCTAGATTTAGCGGAGAAACGTTTGCCGCTAGATTTAGCGGGGAAATTTTTCTGCTAAATTTAGCAGGGGAAATTCACCCATAATGGACTGCGCGGTTACGCCGACACTGTCGGCGGAAATTCGGTGTCGGCATTGGCGGAATTTAGCGGAAATATTTCCCCGCTAAATCTAGCGGAAAAAGTTTCCCCGCTCAATCTAGCGGAAAACTTTCCCCGCTAAATCTAGCGGAAAAATTTTTGCTATCAGAAAAATTTTCCCGCTAAATTTAGCGGGGAAATTTTTCTGCTAGATTTAGCGGAGAAACGTTTTCTGCTAGATTAAGCGGGGAAATTTTTCTGCTAAATTTTGCGGGGAAAATTTTCCTCTAAATTTAGCGGGGAAATTTACCCATAATGGACTGCGCGGCTACGCCGACACTGACGGCGAAAATTCGGTGTTGGTGTTGGCGGAATTTAGCGGAAAAATTTTCCCGCTAGATATAGCGGAAAAGTTTTCTCCACTAAATTTAGCGGAAAATTTTCCCCTAAATGGGAGGAGGGGAGGAGGGGCATAGCCTCCTCTCCGTACCATCCCCTCCTCCTCCTCAAGAGCTGCATTCTAATTCGGCGTTACAGAGAATTGTAAACGGCTTTTATTTTTTTTAGATACACCCCTACATAGATAAAAGTTTAAACGCCCTAATTTTTTGCCAAAAATTGAGGGAGCTTTTTGATGCACTATTTTTTTTGTTGTGAAATTGCCACTTATATGCAGTTACAGTTTGCTACAATTTGAATACCACTTGTATGACTGTGAGGCTGAAGTACGGCAGTTAATGGCAGTATGCAGTGGCCTCTTTAAATCGAAAACCAGATCTCCAAGATAAATCTTAATCCTTTCCGGCCCATGCTTGCCCGACGTGTGTGAAAACGCAGAACCACGAGTTTCATTGAGGCGTTTTTGCAGTAGCGCCCCCTCATGTCACAGCTGTTCCGAGAGAAGCAGAGAGGAAACCTCCACAGCCTCGGAATGGAAACCGACATTCCATTCTGGCGTGGATTTCAAGTGATCCGAAAGTGCTCCACACTTGTGCCTTTAAAGCAACAAAAAAGCGGAAGATGCCAAGAAAAAATGAAAGCCTTTTACAACTCCCTGTAACACCGAATTAGAGCGCAGCTCTTGAGGAGGAGGAGGGAAGGGTACCGAGGAGAAGGTATATCCTTCCTCCCTCCTCCTCACCTCCTCATCCTGTCTGCTGCTCCTCCCTCCGAGCGGCGTCGCCGTTGCCTCACAAGGGTCACGTCACCTCACGGGGGTCACTTGACCCCTATGACGTCACGTGACGATGACGTTGACGTCGTCAGTGACGATGACGATGCCGATGATGTCGTCAGTGACGATGACGATGCGGGTGCCGATGACGTCATCAGTTACGTCACTGATGATGTCATCGGGCGATGATGATGCAAATGCCGATGACGTCATCAGTCATGTCACTGATGACGTCATCAGTGACGATGCCAATGATGTAATCAGTGACGTCACTGATGACGTCATCAGGGACGATGACGATGCGGATGCCGATGATGACGTCATCAGTGACGTCACTGATGACGTCATCAGTGACGTGACTGATGACATCATCAGTGACGATGCGGATGACGATGACATGAGTGACAATGACGATGCTGATGACGTCACTGATGACATCATCAGTTTTGTCACGCGTCCCATAATGCACTGCGCGGTTACGCCGAAGGCGACAGCGACGGCAACGCCGCTCAAGCCGGAAACAGGCGCCTAAGAGCTGCGCTCTAAAACTTGGCTGTCGTCTTGGCATTTTTCAAGCGTATATTAAATGCGTAGCATTTAGAACACCTTTCTCGCATCCACCTGAAATCGCCGCCTTTTGCGCACATTACGTACCGCACCGAATGAATTGTCTGTGAGCCTTAAAGGGCAACTCCGCTCAATTTTGAAAAATTTAGGCTTCCTAGTGATTCACATTCACAAAGTAATACTCAACAACTCTACGTCTTCGGATTCGCAAAATGTGGAATAATATTTGTGTAATCCTAATTTAAACATCAGCAGATACCGAAACCGAAACTTCGGTTGCGTCAGGCAACATCGGTCTCGGGTCGTCACAGTCATGGGCACCTCACGTCGAACCACGTGGTCTTGTGACGTTCGGGAGGGAGCGAGAAACAGGACACGGGCAGGTCGCTTTGCATGGCGTGGACGGTGATGGCCCGGGGGAGAGGGGGAAGGGGAGAGGACGAAAGAGGAGAAGGGGAGCGGAGAAACAGACCGATAAGCGCGCAGGGCAGCGGTGATCACGTGAACGCCCGGTCAGCCAACACCGGGAGGAGAAACTCATGACGTCATCGTTAAATTTCGCTCTGAAAAGTAAAAACAAGCAAAACGTGAGAATGAAGTATGCATGCCTCTGACGTAGTGGTTCAACGTTGGCCGCTCCAACTCCGTGGCATTGACTGCGCTGATGATTGCGCCTCGCGCCGCACGCTAGAGTTGGCAGATTTCGGCGACTTGGCTCGCTTGAAGGTTCGCTGGCCAGTTTATTAAATATATAGACGGAATTAGATTGTAATATTTGACATGGGGTCTTCCTATATGATACTGAAGAGGACTACATAGTTTTCTAAATATCAAAAATGAAGCGGAGTTGCCCTTTAACTCCCGGTCGGCCGTTGTGCAATGGCAGCTGGCTTCCTGTTGCTGCTGGGCCTGGTGCTCTTGTTTTGCAGCTGTCTCCCTCACTGTTCCCTTTTGATCCTGCTGCACCCACCGTTGTGGCTTCTGCACCGTTCTGGTGGAACACAATGCCCGCAAGCAAGATCCTCAGTGGCTTTGCTGCTGTCAAACGCACGCCCATCAAAGTCCAAGAGCAGATGGTGTGCTTCACGCTGCACTCTACATCGAGGCTACGTCTCTGACTTTCATGCAAAAGTGGCAAGAGCTGGCTCTAAATACGTTTGACATTTAGAGGTACCCCAGAAACCCTCCAAATCTACCAGTAGAATTCCGCTCAATTTCCCTCGAGGTTTCTTGGGAGGTTTTTTTTCTCGGGGTTTTCCTACCGATGGCTGCTAGCTTGGGACTTTGTTCGGACATCTTCCGATTAATGGTGTATGCAACGTCTTCCGATTTATACCTTACGGTCTGTTGAACGACCCCTCTGCAGATGTGCTGCAGCTGGTGTGCCGCAACTTGCGCCAGGGTAAGGGGGATGCGGTGATCCTGAGCAGGACCCTCCACGTTCTGGTGGCGGAAGGCTTCTACCAGGAGCATCTGGAAGAGGTGCTGGACGCCCTTGCCGGGTCCTTCGGCAGGCTCAGGTACTGCACGCTTGGGACATTCTCTCATTTTTAGGCCGGCTCGGACAGTTGCGTTTGAGCGGAATCAACTGCCTTATGACTGCTTGTAAATGCTTACGACGAGATGACGCACTGGCGTATTTCACAATTTTTTACGCATAGAGACACGCTGCTTTTAGGGCTTTTTTGTTTATAACTTGAGATTTAATTCGCGCAGCTTCGGCGCCCCGTAGCAGCAAGTGCTGCTACGAGGCGTGTTTTTCGTTATCATCCCTTTGACCTGTTTATGCAGCTGAAAGATGAATCTACTGGTGTAAAGACCACATGCCCAGGTAGTTAAAGGGGCAACAAGCGTGGGTTGGCAGTAGCAAAGAGTAAAGTTGAGCTGCATCCAAGTGCTCCGGAAACGCGGAAAAAGAAAGAGCGGAGTTAGAGTCGTGTCGGCATAATATCTCTCATTGCTGGTTCAACTTCTCCCATCGATTCAGCACTGCCGGGTTTTCTCGGTCGTCGTTTCAGTTTACGAGGTCCACAACCGCAGTAAGGTGAGAAGGTTGTGGGTGGTCTGCAATGAACGAGTGAGTTTCGTCAGCTAAAAGAAATGGGCCATAGGAATACTAATAGAATAATGAGACGCTAGGGAGTGCCTTACGTCTCTTTTACGTCGTACGTTGCTCTACGTTTTTTGTTTTGTACACTGTGCTTAATCACGGAATGGCGGATGTAGGTTCCGAAGGCCTTAGCTTACGCCAACATTACTAGGACGGCTCAGTTGCGAATGCCTTTGGAACACGAACCTCCAATAGCGTTCACAGGAACTGAGCCACTGGAACCCAAAGTCAATTAGAACGCCGCCCCTTAGCGGTCATTTCGTTCCGTTAGCTTGTTTGTAGTTTGTTGATTGCTGTACAGATTTTGTTTTGAGACAAGGGTGTCAGCAACAGTTCACTTTGCAGACAAAGGTAAAACTCGTTAGTGTTTACAGCGGAGCTGTTAAAGGCTAGTTTACCCAGTATCGTATCCGTGGACAAGTAGATGTCGACACAAAACTCCAGACATCTACCGCCGTCTGTGAGCGACAGTGGCAATCAGACAACCGGCTTGCCGGTTGTCTAATTGCTGCCATTGCTCATAGATGGCGGCAGCCTTCTAGCCTTTCCACTCTGGTTTTCACCAGAGTGGAAAAGCTGAATTTCTCTAGGCGTCGTCCTAGAAGTCGTCCTTGAGATAGTCCTAAACGTTGTTCTTGAGGTTGTGAGAAAGGTTATCCTCAAGGTCGTCCTAGAAGTCATCCTTGAGGTCTTCCTAGACGTCGTCTTTGAGGTCATCCTAGATGTCGTCCTCGAGGTCGTCCTAGAAGTCGTCCTTGAGGTAGTTCTAGACGTTGTCCTTGAGTTTGTCCTAGACGTCGTCCTTGAGGTTGTCGTAGATGTCCTCTAGGTGTGATCCTCGAGGTCGTCCTAGAAGTCATCCTAGACGTAGTCCTTGAGATCGTTCTAGAAGTAGTCCTTAAGGTAGTCCTAGACGTTGTCCTTGAGGTCGTCCTTGAGGTCATCCTAAACGTCGTCCTCGAGGTCGTCCTAGAAGTCCTTAATGTAGTCCTAGACGTCCTTGAGGTCGTCCTAGACGTCGTCCCTGAGGGGTTCGTAGGTGTCCTCTAGGCGTCATCCTTGAGGTTGTCCTAGAAGTCATCCTTGAGGTCGTCCTAGACGTCCTTGAGATCGTCCTAGACATTGTCCTCTAGACGTCAACCTAGACATCGTAAAGATAACAGGTTCGCTGGTCCTCCATCTTTATGTGAAATGGAAGGGCTCTAAATTTTTATTTGTTCTTCTCCATTCCAGTATGTATAGTTCCCAAAGTTGCCACTGCAGTCGCATGGTTCGGTACTTAAATAGGGGTTCAGCCACTTTTTCAAAGCAGGCACCTATGGCAGTTTCCCATTTAAGGTCTAGTAACGCCGGCTTGCGCCGTTGCTCGCATCCAAAGTAAGTGATGAAAAGCATACTTTTTACTTCTGCACGAATATTGAATAGTTTGGAATGTTGTCACGGATGACGAGTGAAGAAACAATGAATAACGGAGGAAACTAGATGTTTAATGGAGCAAATTTGTGCCAAAATAAAAGTACAATAATGGGCGTTGCCGGCGTCGATCTTGGCAAGGCAGTGGGATCGAGTGCTAGCGGAAGGCCGATCCGGCGCTGCATGCTGTCGCTGTTTTTATACACAGCTTATGTTCTTGGAGGATCTTGCACAGAAAATACAATACCACCGAGAATGCACTGGAAGTTTTGAGCAGGGGCAACGGAAGGCAAATCGCAGTATGAACGGCGGAATTCGAACCTGCGTGAGAGCCACTTGCACTAGAGCTCTGCACGGGGCCGGGCTAACCAGAAAGCCCGGGCCGTGCAGCACAGATTGTTTCTGGGTCCGGGCTGGGCTTGGGCAGTGGTGTAGCACACTTTCTAAAACGTTGAGACGAAAATGCTAACAAGTGAATAGTTTAGATATGATATAAACGAAAAAGCCAAAGTGCAAACTCGCTATGACAGCACTAATAAAATAATCTTTGGATCTTTGGACCAAGAAAGCCCACGAGGAGATACGCGGAATCCTGGGGATTCCATCGGCATAATGGGACAGATACCAGCAGGCAAGAAAACAAGGGCAGTCCTGTCACAGGGGACGGTACGATCGTCTTTCCCTTTTTGAACCCTCGAAGAAAAAAAAAAAGCCTTCTGCTTACCAAAGATAAGCTGCGTCTTATATTTGTGTAAGCTTTCAAATATTCACGACGTCACTCCGATATGACAGCGCCTTTCATGCAAATTAGTCAACAAATCAAATGCACCAACAACTTCCCGGGGCAGCTTTGAATTTAGGAGATGAGGCACGTTCTCACCGGGCCAGGCCTGATTGGGTAGGCATCCCATCAGGCCGGGTCCAGGTCGGGTAAGACCAAAAGTCGGCGGTCCCAAACTGGGCCTCAAAATTTGGGCCTGTGCAGTGCTCTAGCACGCACTGCCCATTCGACCATGCTCGCGGCATTACTCCCCCTTTGTTTGTCTAGCATCGTCCCGATGCTAGACAAACAAAAATAACGACACTAATAATAGTAAACAACAAAAATGCACGACGTGGACAACCTCGGGTTGCCACAATGTGCATTTTGTCGTTTACTTGTCATTTTTCATGTTGTGCATTTGCGGCGAATGACACACCTCAGGTGCGTCGTTCGACGCAACCCGAGGTTGCCACGAGCGACCTGGACAACCTCGGGTTGCGTTCCGTCGGGCAGCAGTTCACTTCAAGGTGGCAGAGAACCTCATAGGGTGAGAAGTAGCGTTTCAAGAGCATCTCACTGAGATGCTCCTGAAACAGCCATACCCGGCCTGCGGGCTGAGAGTGGACGTCGCGACGACAAATGTTGTACCATTGTGCGTGGACCCACTGGTGGTCTCAAATTCTGACTCTTGCGAGTTGACGAGCATTCTCTACTCTCTGAGGTATTGTTGGAGCATCGTCACCGCCATCCTCAATTGGCTCGTGAGGCGGCATGGTGTCGAGCGTGGCGGTAACTCTTCTGCAGTGTACCATCTCAAACAACGTGGCCCTAGTTGTTTCTTCAACCTCCGTGTTGTGTATGAAGATAATGTACGGTAGCACCTTGTTCCACGTCTACGTACACGGCAATGCTGTCAGTGATGGTCTTATTAAATTTCTCTCAGTTAGTTTGTCTGTAGACGGTACACAGTTGTCCCGCGATGGCTGGTGTGACTTAAACGAAGGATTTCTTGCAATAGCCGAGCCATAAAAGTGGACCCGCGGTCGGGACTTGTGGAGCGCCATGCCTATAAATTAAGGCGGGAGAATTGCACTGAAATGACACCTCTCAACCATATTAAACAGTCCTGGATGGTTGCTTATAACTACAAACGACAAGTACCTTTTATGCAAAACTGCACAAGGTAAACAATGCAGCAAAATCATGCTTCCATGCTCCCACATTTACTGGGTTATTCAAGGAGCGGCCAGGCTCTTTAAATCAACTGCAAGGTTTTGTTTCTTAACCTATTGCGCTACGATTTAGTGCAGTGTTGCCCACAGATGGTGCATTTCTTTCATAAAATTTGCAACGAGCAAACTTACCTGAGGAAAACGTAAGGAAAGAAAAAGGCTTAGCTCCTATGGAAACGCAGCGAAGCCACCGGTCTGCAAACAACACAGCGCCGCTTCGCATGTGAGACAAGAGATGGCGCAAGCGGTCGTGACTCCAACTGCCGCCAACGAACGAGCATACGTCGCCGAGAGCCAGCGTCTTTAGCAGACGATCGTTTCGACTCAAAAGCGCCGTGAGCTTTTCTGATATCTGTTGCCAATGCATTATTTTATCGTCCTTACTAATAAAACATATTGTATGGACCGATTAAAAAAATGGTTTGTCGCAATATTTTGACTCTTTTTAGGGTACTGATGTCGTCTGCTCCGCAGTTCCTTGTTGTTACCGCGCCTGTTTTTGTTTCTGCAACTGTCGCCGCCTGCGGAACTTGCGCCGATTTTGAGTCGAAAAGATTGTCTGCTAAAGATGCCGGCTCTCAGCGTCGTCTGCTCGTTCGTTGGTGAACGGTGGCGTCGCGACCGCTTGCGCCATCTCTTGTCTCCCATGCGAAACGGTGCCGTGTTGTTTGAAGACCGGTGGCTTCGCTGCGTTTCCATAGGAGCTAAGCCTTATTCTTTCTTTACTTTTTCCTCAGGTAAGTTCGCTCTTTGCAAATTTTACAAAAAAAATGCACCATCTGTGGGCAACGCTGCACAAAGTCGTAGCGCGATAGGTTAAGAAACCGAATTTTGTGGTCGATTTAAAGAGCCTGGCCGCTCCTTGAATCACTCGGGATTCGCTATGCGCAAGTCCGTTATTTGTTCCTTATTTTTCAACTGTCTCTTGTCTTAAATTATTTTGAACATCTATCTGCGAGACTGACCTTTCAGCATGCAACTTCAGATGCAGTAACACTCCCTACCGCCCGCATCCTTAAAAAAAAAAAAAAAGGAGAGCCAAGCGGTTTTGTGGAGATGTGAAAAAATGTTATTGTATATCTTTTTTACACCGTAATAATTTAAATATTTTCTGTAAAGATACCAAACCTTTGAACAGAACATGCATGTGCGGATAAAAGAAGTCTATTTGTTCTTTAAATTTTATTTTCTTGGCTTTCAGACAACAGTGGGTACTTTTTTAATTTTTTTTGCAAAATAGCAGTTTTCACCAAAATATGTCTTTGCCTGGAAACAAAAACTGACTGCATCAATTAAGAACTTGCGATAGCCGATATAAATCACTCTGAAATTATCAATATCTTTGTTGTGATAAGCTCGAGAAAAATATAAAATGTTTAAGATAGTCATTATTCATTCTTAATGGGGTATATTCTACAATACAGTCGAACCTCGATATAACGAACTTTAATGTAACGAAATCCTCGATTTAACGAAGTATTTTATTTTTCATAATTTCTTGCCCATAGACTCCATGTATTTTTAGTCTCTATATAACAAAGTCTATTTTGCTGCTACTTCAATATAACGAAGCGCCATTGCCATAGAAGGCAATAAATAAATATTCTAAAAAACAACTTCGCAAAAAAATTGTGGTTAAATAAAAAAATTATGCGCAAACGCGAGCGCTTGGTAGGTTACTTCACGGGGACAGGCCTTCCAACGTTCTTAGGCTGCCCGAGGATGCGGCGCCGGTAGCGCCGGTGAGGCGTGGGGCAAAGCGGATTCCGTGGGGCTGGCCAGAAAATGCCGAGCATAAAGTTAACACGGCATAGCAGCATCACCACTGACATTCACTGATCATCATAGTTCACTGTACCGCGGGTAGCGCGGGAGCCAACTTCAGCGGGGGAGCAACGTGATGGCGCGACCGCGCGGGCAGTGCCATCTAGGAGAAGATCGAGAAGACCGATTATCGTCTTGCGAGCGTGATGTAAAGCAAAGGCGCAAGCGCACTGTGGGCGCAAGGGTGCAAGTAAACTGTGCGGTCAAGAGTGCTGTGTAGGTTGGAAACATTGGCACCGCCTAAACTAAACAGCTTTATTTTTCAACCGGGCGGTTCACTCACGTGTTTGCTGCCATAAGGAAACATAAAGTTCTTTTTTTGGATGAGAAAGCAAACGTTTTGGACGCCATCCTGAAGAAACTGCCGAGATCACGAGCACTCGGGAAGTGCTCGACGCAATGGACGTACTGAGGAGGTACACGGCGTCGCATGGGCAGCAGGATGCCGTGCAAGCGCTCTGGGCGCTCGAAAGCCGTATGACGCTGCTGCTACTGTCGGACAAGGCGCAAGCAAAACTCGCGGACTACTTTGCCCCTAAATAAATGTCATTTTCGGTGAGTTTTCATACCCGTAAAATGTTTCGGAATTTTTTTTTTTGCATGCTAAAGCCAAATTTTGATTTAGCGAAATTTCAATGTAACGAAGTAAATTGCGAATTTTACCGACTTCGTTACATCGAGGTTCAACTGTATATTGAATATTAAAAAAAAAGAAAAAAAAAAAAGAAAGCCGTTTACAACTCCCTTTAACGCCGAACTAGAGCGTAGCTCTTGAGGGGGAGTAGGGAAGGGTACTGAGGGAGGGGGGTCACGTGACCCCCCCCAGAGAAATTTTTTCGTTAAATTTAGTGGAGAAATTTTTCCGCTCGATTTAGCGGGGAAAATTTTCCACTAAATCTAGCGGGGAAATTTTCCGCTAGATTTGGCGGGGAAATTTTTTTTGCTAGATTTAGCGGGGAAATTTACCCATAATGCACCGCGCGGTTATGCCGACGGCGACACCGCTCAAGCCGGAAACAAGTGCCTAAGAGCTGCGCTCTAAAAAAAAAAAAAATGTATGGGAGCTCGGCCGTGTTTTTTTATCGAGATTACGAATGATTCATCTAATAGGGAACAAATTATTAAAAACTAAAATCCGTGTCGCAAAATAATACTTTTTGAACCCAAAAATAAGGAGTTTGAGAGAATGTCCCCGCAGTGTATCAAAGCTGTTCAATTGATCATCAACTTCAATTTTTTCTTTATGAAAAATAATTTGGTAGCCTAGAACTTAGTCTGCCTCAACGGGTGACTTGTCTTGCAGGTGTAGATGAGCGATTTAGCCAGTGCAGCACAACTGCTAGCCTGGGGTCTTTAACGTACACCACGCAGTAGTTATACACCACCGCACGCCAGTACGATGCTCATCCAGATCGAAACGGGCAGGGGTGGGGATTGAACCCAGGATCTCTGGGTTCTGCAGCGCGAGCTTTCGCTCCACGTGCTCTGAGCGGGTGTGCACTAGCCCGCTCGGCCACCGATCCCCCCTTGTGCTTTATATACGGCATGACTTTAGTGTGTTCTCACAAAATAAAGCTGTGACAGACTGTACCAACCTTGCGAGTCAAAGTTTGCTGCCGCTTTGCACTTATTAAAGCCTCGTTGGCAGTCTGGGTACTTCGGGACTACCAAGGTTTGTCTCTAAGCCTCTCCGTTCCGATGGGAGGCAGCCAATTATACGAGCTCTATGCCACCAGTGGCTCGCTTTTTAGTTTAAATATAAAATTTAAATGACCCGAGGCAAAGTGGTTTTTCCCCCAAAAAGTTCTACATCACCTCCCAACATAGTGCAATGGACGCCACGAGCCATGTTGACCAGCCTAGCACTTCATCTGTGCCATGAGGCTTGGCACTCCACGCGTCGCACCACCCAGCTGGGAGGTCACGTTACACACTCGGAGAAACGGAGTGACCCTGGTGGAGTGGCCTCTGTGGTGGAGTGGATAGTAATACCACTCGAGCAAACTTCGGGGGACCTCGAGGAAAAGATTGCTTAATAACTGAAAGTTCACTCTGGGGAATGCGTTAGTCACAATGGCATTTAGCTGGGGAATTTTGTGTGAGATTTTTATCCGAGTAGTTGGTTCAATTGGAGTTCCTTTGAGCAATATTTCATTGTAGTTGAGCTAAAAGTGAGAAGAGACCTTGAAAGTGGGAAGGTCCATACTGATGGCAGGGTCTGCTGGTGTCTTTCGGCGGAGTTTCTCTGCGAGAGGGGAGACCGATTTCCCCAGCCAGTCTGGCTACGCCGCCGCTGCCGCGGTGCACTGGAGCAACTTTAGTCTCTCTACACGTGCGACAATCTCGCTACCACCGTGCGCGTACGGAGTACGATCTGTCTCGTGCACTGCCGCCTGCCTCCCGCGCACTGAAGGCACGGCGGCTTCGCGCATCTGCTGGACGCTTGCCAAGATGGGTCTGCTGCGTTCCGGACAGGTGCAGACACGTTAAGGGGTCTGTCTCCGCAGGGAGACCGGGGGCGGCAGCCTGATGGCTCCGCAGCTGGCCGCCCTTCTGGAGGTGTGCCGGCGTCTGGGTGCCAGCCGGCGCCACCTACTGTGCTCCGTGGGGGAGCCCATCCTCCGCAGCCTCCTCGTCCTGTGCACCTGGAACTCCCTGCAACTCAAGGTGTGTACGGTTTCTTGCTCTCTCGCACGTTCCGAGGCCTTGACGCCTCGCGAAAGCTCGGGCCGTAAATTCTGCTCGTGGCTGCGAGCTCCGATTTTGGTTTAGCCATTTTTCGACGCATCCCCTGACTTTTGCAGTTTTTTTACTCTCGCAGAACTGGCATCAGTCCAGGAAACTGAGCATGATCTCAATTTTGGCGGTGTCGGCCTACGTGTATGGTGGTAATTATAAGGAAGTGCCCGCCATAACGCAATACCGAGCGCACCACGGGGTGTTGCTATTTGTTATGTTTTTTGTGAACTGTAAACATTATGCTTGCATAATCTTTCACATTGCTGGGGCTACTTGTGGCTTTAAAATTTCCTCCCATGCACGTGATACTCGCAGGTGGTTGCTTTGCACATTGGCTGCTCTGGCAGTAGTGGAAATTGGGAGTGTCGGCTCTTTTGATTCAGACACTTAACGCTTCTTGAGATTCAATTCGGAGGTTGAGAGTTTATCATCGATGAAGAAGCTTTCTAAAGTGCCTCCGATTTGGAATCTGAAATCATCAGAATGTCATCGGAGCAGACGCACCAAATTGAAACCGAATGAAAGAAGGGTGAAAACTTTACCCTCAATATTTTTTTTTAATGTTTTTAAACTTATCTAGCGGGTGCGCATACAAGCATCGTATGCGCTCCCGCTAGATAATTAAGAAAAAACTTGTACATTAGCCCTTTCTCTATAGTACAGTCAATCGCCTTTGCCTCTACCACAAAAAGGCCCGTTTAATGAAATACTAAAATAAATTACCGGCCAGTCCCCCATGTGTTCAGTATGTTTCTCTGACTACAACAAATTCCTGTTTGACAAATATTTCTGGTTAAGGAAGCAATTGCACGGCCCCACAAAGCAAAAATGACCGGTATTACAAATTTTCTAGCTTGAAAGTAATAGAGTTTACGTAAATTGTCGCTCGCAGGTGACGCGCGTAGAGAACAGAAGTACTGCAGCAGCGGTTGTTGACACCGCTGTCGCACTGCCTTCGCCGCACCCCTCTGCTGTCGCTGTGCCGCATGTTTTCGGTATCAACTACCGTATTTACTCGCATTATTTGCACACTTTTGTTTTAGTATCTGTCATCAGAAAGGGGGTGCGCAAACTACGCGGATATTTTGCGACATGCTTTAGCCCCCCCAGTCTGAGAACTGGGGGGGCAAGCACCCACCTTGCTCCCCCGGTTGGTACAAACATGATTCCGTTCATCCCTGAGCTGACAATACGGTGGCAGCTACGCACATGCCGGACCAATCAGCCGCCTTGCTTTCATCACCTGATCTCATTCTCTCCGCGTGGGTACGCGGGAGGGAGCGTGATCATGTGGCAAAAGTGTTGCTGGCCCACAACTTTACACGTAGCTTCCACAGCACTGATAATTTAGGGGTGAACGGGGTGGGGAACGCAATCTTTGTCCAAATTTTGAGTGACGGGCTAATCTTCTAGGGGGGAAATGGCGGTGTCTGGGTACACAAAGGAGGGTCTAAGCAACAAGGGAGTTCCTCCTTTCCCTCTTCTTGAACTGCATGGTACTCTGCGCAATTTGTGAGTTAAGGAGGAAAGCTACGAAGGAAAAAGTCGAAAAATCGTTTCATGGCCCCTTTATTCTGCAGCGCCAGCTTTCATTCCACATGCTCTAAGCTACAATGCACCAGCAGACTCGGCCGCCGTTCCCTCTTTTGATAAGTCAATTGTGAACGTACAACACCTCGTTTCTGATGTCACTCAGAAAGGAGGTTTTGTACGTACAGTAAAACCTCGTTATAACAAAATGGGATATAACAAACTAATGGATATAACAAAGCAATCATAATTCCCCTTGCTTGCTATTAGGGAAGAAATGAACATTGGCTATAACAAACTAATGGTTATAACGAAATAATTACGGTCGCTCCTTCAACTTTGTTATAACGAGGTTTTCCTGTAATACTACACTTCGAATGTTGCGGAGGTGCGTCAATATGCGATAGCACAAATTTGGTTTTGCGTGATTCATTTCTCGCGCTCAAATACTACGACGAAGTTAAATGTACTACATAAAATTTCACCGGTCCCGCGGACTTGGTTATAAAGACGTTTCACTGTGTTACTCTAATTACTGGACAAGCTATGCTTTGGAGTGAGGACACTTCGCCATCTTGTTGCCTCAAATGACGGTGGTCAGTTATCTCAAGCCTCATCTCAAATCGCAGGAAACGGTTTTCCGCCCCCTGGAAAGGTTCAAACGGTCTGCGGCGAAGCAAAACGATGCCGCCTGAACTTCCCGCTGCCCCGTCTAAAGCGCAGGAAGTGGCGTTGGACTTTGCCGCAGGAGCTGGCGCTGGAGTTCCTGGCCCTGCAGCTGAGTCTGCACCACCCCGCGGGGTGCGCCTCCCAGTCGGGGAGCGGGCAGGGCGCGGACGACGGAGACGGCCTCTGGAGGGCCCTGCTCGGGGAGTGGCACGTGCTGCTCTTGCAGATGCTCAAGCAGAGCTCTACATCTTCCACCACTCTTACTGCGTGAGTGACACACTCTAGAGCTCCTCTCTAGAAGGTTTTACCGTGTCGGTTTTGCGATGAACTCGGCAAGAGGTTGTAATGGTGACTGGCAAATCCTAAAAATAAGTATCTTCGTATTCAATCCTCGAATAGAACACGAAGGCTATAAAGAACTTTATTTTTGCCAACACAATATTTGTCAGGCGTGAGATCGAGGAATATCTCGCAGGCTCCAAAATGTATGATTGGGAGTGGTACGCTATTTATTAGTTACCATGGGGTCATGTATTCGCGTGGCATTTTCCGGAGACATCTTTTCTTGCTGCGTGCTGTCGAGGTGCGACCCGAGATGCTTAACTCTCGGTACTAATGACGCGTCGTTCGCAACAGATCCTGCGAGTGAAGGAATTGGCTGTTGCAGGCGGCATTATAGTTACTTTCTCTTACAAACTTTTTAAGCAAGATCAAAATGGCACGCACATGCTCAAACGAGACCACTACCTCTTTTTTTCTTCACGTATGTAGCAGCCGCAACAGATTCTGTGTTCTAAGGCTTCTTCTTTACCATATCTTTATTTATTTCAAGATACTGTTAACCCCTCTTGGGGTCATTACAGGAGAGGGTATAGAAAAACGTATGGTAATAAACAGCAGCAGCAAAACGAAAACACCGCATATACATTACAGGAGACTGTGGAGTATACAGAAATAAACAACAGCAGGAAAACGAGAAACACCGCATCAACAAGTATAATTTGCAATCATATTACAACGACAATATTATTAAACTAGCAAACGGCATGCACCACTCAATAGTATCAACGAAGAAACTAGTTCTGTAAGCGCTTCAAATTATTTAAAAACTCTGTAAGGGAACTTGAGTTCACAATTTCCTGTGGTAGAAGGTTCCATTCATCTATTGTTTGAAAAAAAAGAGAATATTGAAATACATTAACTCTGCTTTGAAAAGGCTGGATCATTTTAGAATGCTTGTTTGTTAGAATTCGACTTATACGGGGTTTCAAATCTGGCTACCGCATGACCTCGAACGATGGGCTCGCATTAAACGTTAAAGAAAGTATCCTGTATGATCCATCCGAGATTGTTTGTCATTAATTTTAAGCGTTTCCCATTCATTCTAATACTCAAATATCAAAAAAGATATTTGGAATAAACCGTAACATATTTGATTTGGTATTCGATTGGAGTAATGTACCAAACTGGTCGCCGAGCAACTCGGTTCGATTGGCATTTGAAGCTATTGGTTGGAGCGATGGTTTTGAGCCCCGAGTTGTATTGGGGCCCAGGCCCGAGGCGAGCCTGCGGCGGGTGCAGGTGTGGCTGGTCTCGGAGTCCCTGCACCAGCTGACCGGAGCGGGGAAGCCGTGCGGGGCCCTGCCGGATGCCGTGGACTCCCTCTGCACACAGAGCCCCAACAGGGAAGCCCTGCCCTGGTGTGTGCCCGAGGAAGGGAGCCATCTGGGGGTTCTCTTTGTCTCAAAAGCAACGGGTCGGGCAGATCGGCGCCCTTTTGGTGAACCGACTCTACCTTCGTGCTACATCCTCTAAAGAATTGGTCGGCTCTACGGTAGCCTGTTTATGGGGTCACAGTTATAGTTTTGTTTTGATCTAAAACTGGCTCGGCAATTTAGGGGAATTCGTATTGTGCAGGGATGAAAGCTTCCTACAGACATGAACAGCCTAAGAATGCAGCAGAAGCTCTGCCTCCAAAGCGCGCTTGTGGCCTTGCATCTCGCTTTGGCTGCGCCGATGGATTACTGAAGATAGAGAGCTTGCACTGGAGGCTTGTACTGCACTCTTATCCTGTTGCCGACCATTAATTGGGCAGCCTAGCGGTGCACCCTGGCTGTCGAAGTAAGGCTGGCTTAGCTGCTCGCAGGCAGTGCTTATTGAACTTTTTGAAGCAGTCGGAGCTCTTTCATAAAGTGGCAAAACTGCACTGTCAAGCAGTGCAGAACAGATGCTGAAGGCAATGACAAGTTTTTCTGGAAACAGTCTTTTCACACTGAAAAGCTTATCTACCGTCTATGCTGAGTACTCTCTTAAATGACTCCTGGGTCCCCATCCACAGTCAGGAAGAAGCACAAATGCTGACTGTCACTGATAATGCTTTAATGGTGACTGATCGAAATTAATAACAGAATATTCTAACTTTTGTCTTCGTCGTACCTCTTACATCACCGAAGCTTTTTTTTCTTCTCATTCTTTTCTTTTTACTTTCATTTGTCGAAGATTAAACAAGCCTAAGACAGGTGGCTATGTTTTCGTCGAACTCTGGGTTGGCCACAAAGGGAGACCACAATGTTGCGAGTGTTTCTGTTTTCTCGTAGATGTGTCACCTGTATTGGTGGGGCGACGCCACCGTCACAGTTGAAGTATTTTCTTCTTATTTGATCTTTGTAAGTGCAGTTTCAGAACTCTGTCATGTAATGTCTGGGATGCTTGGGCTGCACATTAAAATCATGAAATAAAATTTAGAAGGTAATTGCAGTGTCTCTTAGACGATTTTTAAAAGAAAAAACACGAGTGCAAGTTGTCTCTGCGTAGTTAACTTACTGATCCGAGCTCGTGCTTGTTTCCCGGACTGCATATTTGTTCCCTTCACTAGTTGCAAACCGTGAACAACAACTGTCGGAGCCACATTTTTGGCATAGGCTATTGGGCGTCCCCAGCCTGTGAATGAGGGCGTCCTGGCGGTTGACTGGTTGCGCCGTGTGTGCTGTCCGTGCAGGCTGGAAGTGTTGGCCTGCTACCTGTGGAAGTTCCCCGAGACGGCAGCGCACGCGGTCACCTCCCTGAGGAAGCTGTTGGAGTTCCTCACCCAGTGTTACTCGGCCTGCAAGCTGTGAGTGCCCTCAGCCGCCCTACTCTGCGGGAAGCCGGCTCCCAGGTCTCAACGGGTTAGAGCCAAACGGGGCTAGAAAAAATGTATGGTAAATTGCTAGGCAATTGTGTTGCATACGTGAAACATTTTAGCATTACAAACGTCTATATCATTGTTTACCAGCTCGTCTAGCCTGTTCAGCCAGATGCCTACGTCCACAGCGCCTTTCATCGGATAATCTAATGTGCGGCACAAATAGTCTTGATACGATAAACCTGGCGATCTTCTAGAACCTTCTAACTAGTGATGAACCAAACTTTTGCCGAATAGAAAACCAAAGTTTTGCCTAACTTTTCTGAAGATTCCGCAAAAATACCGTATTTACTTGCATAATAAACGTGCTCGCATAATAAACGCACCCCCCACAATGGGCATCAATATTTTGACTTTTTTATTTCCCTCCCGTAATGAACGCACGTCCCATTTTCGGATTTGCGAGTCTCAAATTGCGTCCAATTTAGCAAGCCACCAAGCCAGTTTTCTTTTGCCGCCAAGCGGTCAGGCCAAGTCAAGCCAAGTCAAGCCAAGTCAACCCAAGCCAGGCTGCTCTCTTAATGGCTGCAAGTGTGTAGTTGCGGTAACTATGGAACTGATAAACCGTGAAACCGAGTGTCGCGCACACTTCACGAAGCTTGGGTCGAGGAATTGCCGAGCCCCGATCATTCTTCGCCCATCGGATGCATTGATGTCAACAAACAACACATCGTGTGTGGTCCTTTTTCGGACAGTGAAATCGTGAAAGTGGTTAGGCCTAATTTCACATACTCCGCGTGAATGCGTTTATTTAATCCGCAACAGAACGGCACAGCGAGGTGCACGCTGTGCTGTAGGCTGAGAGTGTCTGGTAGCCTCTCCATGAACAAAACTTTATCCATGCGAGAGGGCTTCAAGGGTCGGCGGTTGGACTTCGTACGAGTTCTTGTCTCCGTGAACAAAACTTGATCCCTGCAGCTTTGGAGCCCGGGGGTTGAACTTAGAGTTCTTATACGCGTAGTCGCGGATATACCTGAGCGTGCCCGCTGGATACTAGTAATATATATTGCCTAAGAACAGTCGTGTTGCTTTTAGTGCTGAGTGAGCTTTGTAGGGCACTGTTCTTTCGGCAAAAGGCAACCCGAAAGCGCCCTAAAAGGTTTGCAATTTATAAAGCATGGTTATTGTGGTGTGCCCCCGACCGGCTGTGGAAGCGCCTCCATCACTGGAGAGGTGCCACAGTACCTTGCCGTGTCATATTGGCACCTAATATGACATTTTTACGAATTGTTTAAATGCAAAAATTTTACGCCGTGTAATGAACGCCCCCCCCCCCCCCCCCCCCCCCCCAAATGTGTGTCCATTTTTCGGGAAAAAAAGTATGTTCAATATGCGAGTAATACGGTACATTGTTGACAGGCTTAAAAGTTTATATTTCGTTTCTTCGAGCAAAAAAATAATTTAGGATTTTTTTAAAATGCATATTGACAGTCATTATTAAATAAGGTGATATTTTACGACATAATTGTATCGGTGTCGTTTTTGTGTGTTTACAGGCAATTTTACAGTGCTTTTTTGCAGAAATGGTGTGATGACGAGGTTGGGTAGTAGCGAGCGCAGTCGCGATATGCGAGTTTCGGTTTTGAGGCCTCATCAATTACCACCTCAAATAAAGGTGGTAATTCAGTAACACTCTGCGGTTACTTTTTTGTGTGAGTCACCGTTTCGTGCTCAAAAATGAATGCAACGGCTGATGAAGCTTCACCGGAAGAGATTACAATATTATTGTCAATATGCACGTTTTTTCGGTTTGAGTCACTGGACACTAGCTTTGCAGAAAAGTGTGTGTCCCATATTTGCAATGTCTCGTTTCTAACTTTTAAAATGCCGGTTTCTGGTGTTAGGACACACGCAGACGTTTAGGAAGACAGGAGGAGTATGGAATGTCGGATGTGCAACGTTGAGTATGATGGTTCTGCCTTTAGTTTTATGTGGGTAGATGAGAGCTGCAAAATAACGCTAATTAAAAAATCATGCGCCATTCCACTCTGTGATGGTGGATAACCAGCGAAGCTGTTTAGCACACGACACAGACCCGCCCCGAGGATTCGGAGGAAACTAGACAGGTGCAACGGGACTGCCACCTTGGAAGAGCATATTGAAAGGAAACTAGGCACGCGAGTGCTTGGAACGACCACAAAGAGAGGGCGGTGCGAGCGTAGACATGGCCGACGTGGGTCGCACAGCGGCAAATTTTTGAGAAACCTTTGTTATCTACGTGAGAGTTTACTGAGCTTGAAAATGGTGCCTACTGATAAGTAATCTATTGAATAGACCTATTGCTAAATTACTTAAGCATCAAGGAGAATGCAGGGAATGGTGCTCCACCCGCCGCACGTGCCGGCGTCTGCAGCAGTAACTGATTTAAAGCAAAAGCCTAAAACAAGTGGAATCTTGCAGTCGCGTTCGTCAACATTCATTTTGGTTATTTACTTCGAATCTTTTATACGGGGAAGGCGTACGTGTGTGACGGTGCGAGTGTAGAGTTTTAGTCGCTGCACAGGAAAAATCTACGGAACCCTAGCCATAAGTAGCTTCGCTGTAAAAGCAATATTATTTTGCTTTTGCAGAAACTACTTGTGAGCTGAAAACAGGATTGCTATAATTGTGAGGACTGCCTTCAAGTACTTGTCAGTCAATGTTCCAACTACCTCTTGCATCGCTGGAAATATCAAATAAAAATTACGTCCAGAAGGGGCCGCATCATTTATCACTTGCGCAGTGGAGTGCATCAATTCCTGATCGTATCTTCTGTTCTTGAAACGGAAAATATTGAAGAGAACCACACTAACAAAGGCTGTAAAACACACGGTTACCTTGTCGGCTACTCTGCACTTTGCCGTAACCGCTGGTAGTACATGATATGCAATCCAATTCTCACGCGTGCGCAAACGTTTGCCGAATCTTTGGCGAACTTTCCTTCAGATGTTCGGCTTGTGCCGAACTTTGTCGAATCTGAAGTTCGGCAGATTTGATTCATCACTACTCCTAACCCACTCTTCCTCTCCTGCCTCGTCTACCTTTCCTCCTCGCCCACCCCTCTTGTCATATGACCTCCCTGTTAACCAATCGGCATTGAGCACTCGCTCCTCCTCTCCCACTCGTCAACCAATCTGTGTCGGGCATCACGACCATGTTTTTATCCAGGTTTCGCTTTTGGGCTTCACAAAATGCTGAACCCCTGGCCGAAAAATGTTTCACATTAAAAGCACTCTTTCTCCCACTATGTGCGAAGGAGCAAAAGGGATAGCTGCAGGACGTTTGAGCAACGCGGGCATTATGGTGTCGTCGTGTACTTAAAGACGGAAATGCTAAGTGGTAATGGACATTAACATCGTGATGGCGTCGTGGATGCCACTGACGACTGCCACGAGTGCTCGGTGATCGGTAAAGTAAGTGGGCAAGGCGAGAGACGGGATGCGCGTGTCAATGTTCTTCGTCAACACGTTGTCGGTGCGCTGACATCGAATGCCACACAGAGGCCCATTTTCGCTGCGACGAGGCCTCGGGTCCACTCATTCTTGGGACCACCAAAATCGACATTGAGTATTTGTGGGATGTTGCCGCGGCACAGGGCACGGAATCGGCGAAGCATGAAATCGATTAAACGTCTGTTGCGGGTTGGCCACGTCGAAAGTATTCGTTCATGGGGGCCGTGGAAGCCAGCCGTAAACTGAGCGGTTCTCTCCGTGCTCGCTTCTGGTACGAAGTACGGTCTTGGCGTGGCGGTTTCGTCGGGAAGAGTCTGTGGTAGTGAGGACTGCCAACGAGAACACCCAACTTTTCTCTCCTCGCTCCATGAGGGGAGATAAGAAGGATTTTTTCGTCTTCGCGGCGACAGCACACAGCGAGAAACGCCGACACCGAAATCCCTGCACAGTGTCACTCATAAGGCTATCATTTTAAAGCAAGTGCTAAAAATAAAGGAACATGGAAAACAGAACCGATGAAGTTTCCACATGGTCCTGACTTTTTCTTTTATGTTTTATTTTGACTTAGAAGTTGGTGTTTTTTTTTTCTTCCATATCAATGTTGATTTTCACTTTTACAGCGGAGCTGTTAAGGGCTAGGTTCCCCAGGATCAAATCCGTGTATGTCGACACAAACCTACCTGGACAGCTACCGCCATCTATAAGCGACGACGGCAAGCACACAACCAGTATGGTTTCCGCCGTCGCTCGTAGATGGCGGCAACCTTTCCAGCTATCATAGAAGAATGGATAGTTGGGTGCGGTGGTGGGAATTCATCGAAGGAAACAGCGTGAAAAACAGACGATGACAAAGAAGAAGCACACAGTGTATCGAGTAGAGCTCCGCTGGTCTTCCTTCTTCATGAGAGTGGAAAGGCTGAATGTTTTTATGAAAAAATATTGCTATATGCGATGCTGTTGCCTAGTGTTTGCGTTTATTTTCACGAAAATATTTGAGTATATTTCTACTGTGCTTTATTTTTTCCGAAAATATTTCAGCATATTTCTACTGTGCTTTATTTTTGTGAAAATATTTCAATATATTTCTGCTGTGCTTTATCACTCTTACCTGCTGTTAATTTTTTTTTGTAGCTGCAATGCTGAAAATTATTAGATACTGAATAGATAAAACTATTCAGTTTTATAAATAAATAAATAAATAGCCCAGACAGGTACAGTAGGCTCGCGTTAATTCCCACTCGGATATTTCACACTTTTGGTTAATCCAAACAAATTACAAAACTTTGGTTTTCCCGCTGCATTTCTAATGTACAGTCGAACCTCGATATAACGAACTTCAATGTAACGAAATCCTCGATTTAACGAAGTATTTTATTTTTCATAATTTCTTGCCCATAGACCCCATGTATTTTTAGTCCCTAAATAACGAAGTCTATTTTGCTGCAATTTCAATATAACGAAGCGCCATTGCCATAGAAGGCAATAAATAAATCAACTCTAAAAAACAACTTCGCAAAAAAATTGTGGTTAAAAAAAAAAATTATGCGCAAACGCGAGCGCTTAATAGGTTACTTCACGGGGACAGGCCTTCCAACGTTCCTAGGCTGCCCGAGGATGCGGCGCCGGTAGCGCCGGCGAGGCATGCGGCAAAGCGGATTCTGCGAGGCTGGCCAGAAAATGCCGAGCAAAAAGTTAACACGGCATAACAGCATCACCACTGACATTCACTGATCGTCATAGTCCACTGTACCGCGGGTAGCGCGGGAGCCAACTTCAGCGGGGGAGCGACGTGATGGCGCGACCGCGCTGACCGCGCGACCGCACGGGCAGTGCCATCTAGGAGAAGACAGAAAAGACCGATTATCGTCTTGCGAGCGTGATGTAAAGCAAAGGCGCAAGCACGCTGTGGGCGCAAGGGGGCAAGTAAACTGTGCGGTCAAGAGTGCTGTGTAGGTTGGAAACATTGGCACCGCCTAAACTAAACAGCTTTATTTTTTAACTGGGCGGTACACTTACGTGCTTGCTGCCATAAGGAAACGTAAAGTTCTTTCTTTGGATGAGAAAGCAAACGTTTTGGACGCCATCCTGAAGAAACTGCCGAGATCACGAGCACTCGGGAAGTGCTCGACGCAATGGACGGATAATAGAATGGAATTGCTTAGAAAACGACACTGTTGATAGCCCTACTCCTGATGTAATATTTTGGAGATTGCGTTGATTTATGCTATTTAGTATCAGTGTTGTGTTGAAGAATGTGTGTGTTTGTGTCTCTGCCATCCCTTCCCCTTTCTTTTTTCCCCCACACCTGCCTGAGCCGTAACACGCCTTGCCGTATTGTGAAATAAAATAATCAAACAAATAAATAACTTGGGCTAACCTGCGCATGGCCCTCTCCAGGCTGGACGTGAAGAGATGCATCCTGCTCTGCTACAGCGCCGCAGTGAGGGCCTATGGCCCCCGGAAGGGCTGCCACGTGGGAAAGCTGCCCTGGCCAGTCTGGACGCTCATGTGGGAACAGACCGTCAAGTAAGCCTACGCTCCCACAAACATTCTGCGGGGCAAGTTGTTTGTCTCGCGAAAGACTTTGGGAGACACCGAGGTGCTTAGGCAAATCGAGAGTGAAAACTGCATGAAATATGAAAGGGTTTTGGCTCATGCATCATCTCTAATGTTCCATTAGTTGAATGCCCCCGCCAATGTCTACTCTCCTCGTAAGAAGCCATTCACTTGTGCTGCTCATTTCTTTTCCGTTAGATTCAGTAAAGGTAGAAAGAAAAGGAGGCGACATACCAGCTCACGCCAGCCAAACGGGAGAATCCCACTTATAGGGGACGGTGGGAACGACCCCGAGGGTGACTGAAACCGCTCTTGGCACCAAATCAGCCATTCTTTCCTCTCAATGTCATTTTTTGGTTTTGGTTGTCGTCGGGGGCGCATCCATCCAAACCTGGAAGTCTCCCCCAGTTTCACCTCTGGTGGCATCATGTTGCCTCCAGAATACCGTATTTGCACGAATATAACGCGACCACAAATATACCGCGAGGGCAGCTTTTGATGCTCTCAAATAGAAAAAAAAAATATTATACTATTATAACGCGAACCGAGGACGCGTCAATTTCTCGCACTCGGGGGCACAGCAGATGTGAAAAGTCAATGAAAATAGAAGAAACATCAGTTTATGTTTTGACTGCACTCATCCTCACTGCTCATGTCCTTCCGTTTGCAATCCATTTGGCGACTACGCAGATAACCTGCAGCACGGCACCTGCTTGTCTGGTAGTTCCCTTCTGTGCGAGCCCCTCGACAGCCCACAGTCTAAGCAAGGCACGAAGCAGACACACCAACACACAAGCACCAGATCACTCTGGAGCAGAAACTAAACAATGCGCAGGCAGAAGAAAAGACTGCTGAATCCGATACACGATCACACTTCTTGTTCTGGTGCCTCTGCATGAACAAATGCCCTCGTGTTGCACGATTGCGTAAACGCGGTTGGTGTTCTTGGCTTGACTTGGCCCGGCTTGGCTTGGCTCGAATTGGCCGGTGCCCGCATTCCCGCATGGCACGCGCGCGCGCTGAGTTTGTGCGGCGTGCGCGCGTTGTACAAACACAAAAGCGATAAAAATGCTTTTTTATGTTCTCTATTTGCCCCTTCACGTGGCCCAATAGCTAATACATTCCCTCCCACACCCCCACCTCTTTTCCCACCGGATCTTTTGCATTGAGCCGGAAAAATGGCTTTCTCCTCTGGCTTTCTCTAGACTCGCGCACCCGGCCTCGTGGCTGAACTCGATTCCGAATATAACGCGAGGTATGTTTTGGAGCACGTAATTTCGAAAAAAAGCTTGCGTTATATTCATGCAAATACGGTACCTCTCTGATGGATTTCCTGGTTCTGGATGGAACCGAAAATCTGAGTTTTGCCGAGTTATCAGGAAACTAAGCTTTTCGAGGGCCCTACGGCTAAGAAAAAAAGAAAACGCATACTGTTCGTTGGTGCACCATTTTGAAGTGATAAGTTTTTGAAGCACACACTTTCCACTCTATGCCGAGGCATATTGTACCTCCGTAGTACTTCGCAAAATTGGTTTATAGAGCTCAAACTTCGCGCGCAACATACCCCTGAAATTCGAAGCAGGTTGAGCGGGCATTAAAAATCAACTTTTCGGAGTAGTGTTTTACTCTGAAATTTTCGGAAGACTGCGATCACAGTATGGGAAACAAACAGGGTCGTGGCCTGGAGTGCACTAATGCTGTCAACAGTTTGCTGAAAAACTGGTGACAAATTAACAGCGCTGACATATTCGTCCGACCCAGTAATGCAGCCCAGTTCTTTCTACGCTCGAGGAACCAGCGAGCTGCCATTTCCTCTGTAGGCGATGACCCTCGTAGCATTAGTGGTGGCAAAGACTTCCAAATAATTGCAGTGTCGGCCATTATAACACTACATTCAGCTAAAGAAAACTACTATATTTTCCGATCTCTAGGTTGTACCCATTTCCTCACAAAGTTGGTATAGAAGTCTCACTTTCGTATTAGTCACACTTAAAAAATTGGACGGTTGGCGTGGCAAAACTGCATTGATAAGCCTGCACATGTGTATTGCGATAGCGGTATACGCACAGGTGGGCAGTTTTAATGTCCTTTCCAGGGAATCGATCGAGCAACATAACCAACATAACATAAATTTGCACACTTAGAAGGACACTGAAAAGGAAAAAGACTTTTTTTGTAAACAACATGAAATAATTGCAAATATTATTAAATAAATTTTCGACAAAAAAAGATATAAAAAAAATTACAGCGTTAGATTGGTACACTACCCAGAAAAGTCAACTTCTGGACCGCTTGGTTGAGTTTAATAAAATTTGCAGTGGAAGTTTATATGAGTGCCAAGATCATCCCTGCCAAATTTCATTGTCCTATGTCAGTTCTGAAACTTGTTACAAATGTTACAATATGGAAGTCAGTGCGTTTGCTTAATAAAACTATTGTTTTAAAATCAAATACGAATTAGTGATTTTTATGTGTAACATAGTCACAGGAATACCATAGTGCATACCCAGCTAGTTATTTTGCTAATTTGCATTGTTTTTCGTAAGTATAACTCCATAAGAAGATTAACATTTGTTTTTCATGTCTGCACTTCTTTTACAAATGTAGATTTTTAGCATAAAAGAGTGTTAAAGTAGAAAAACTAACTAGCCAAGCATGTTCCTTACAAAATTCTATCCCACAAAACCACTCAAGAATAATTGTCTCTTGTGTAATAGGAAAACGCCAGTTTTCCTAACACGACGGTCTGATGGAAAAACAGAAACTGGGAAAAATATGCTTCAAGTGTAAAGAGTGCTGTCTTTTATTTTAGAGGCACATTTACTCGAGAAAATCCCCCAGGAGCGTACATGGGCCCTTCATCTTCAATTCTCTTTTACTCAGCAGCAACAGCTTGCAGTTGTCTAGCTTTCTTGGCCGCTTTTTTCACTGTCAGGTGACCTTGCACGTGCCCATGACACACAAGCTTTTGTGGCCTGCTCCACGTGCCCGGTGGTGTGTGTGCCACAGGCTACACCGAGCTTTTCAAGCACTCTCTCAATACCCTAAATTGGAGAACAGCCAGAGCAGCTGCAGTTTCCACCGTCTTCAAAGAGGCCAACTCCGTCTTCGGGCACCTTTTCCACACCGATGCATTGAAGAATTCATTGGCATTTTGCGTTAGCATCCTTGAACAGTGCGCAAGGAGGTCTGCGTCGGCCAGTCTGTTGTAGAGAGGTACTAGCTCCTTAGCAATCTCCCTGCTAAATGCTGGGCGGTGGGCTCGAGCTACTGATGGCTTGCCAGCGTCGAGCAAGGCCAAGTGCCTGTTGTAATGACAGCAGGAGTCTTCACCACGTGGGCAGCCAGTGTGTCGAGGTAGGGAGGGCAGGGAGTGCCCCCTGTTGAAACAGTAGCGTGCGCTCTTTCTCTGAACACCACTGTCGCTGCGCGACTCCTTAGCCCCAAAATAAAATGGGCCTAGCCCCAAAATTAAATAGACATAAAAGAAAAAAAGAAAGTCTTCATCAAGTTGAGTGTGTTGACAACAACCGTTGAGCAATCGCACTTTGAGCGCATCATTTTTGTTTACCTTTTCTTCCGCTGTTCTCGCTTTGCACAGTTTTTCTTTTTTTTTCCTCTCTTTTTTTGCTGCCTGAATTTAGTGTTTCCTTTTTTGCTGCTTCATGTAGTTCGCTTTTCCGTTTTTTATACTTTTTAAAATTATTTTCGTGTTTTGTTGCCTGAGCTGTGTGGAGGTCGTGGCTAGGCTTAAACAATCGCAAACACCGTCGCATAAATGCGGCATTGTGTTTAGCGGCTCTTAGAGGCTCTGTTTGGTAAGGTCCCACTTGTCGTGGCCTTCAGTATTAGCGGAGACGTGCAGAAATTTCAACTGGAGCTTAAGTTAGCATATTTTTGTACATCAAATTATCGATATATCGAACTATTTTACGATCCCCTTGGAATTCAATATATCCGGGTTCGACCGTAGAATCCCGCCTGTAAGTTAAGGTGCTGGTAAGTGGTTACCATTAGGGATGTCGCGAACCACCCCAGGTTCGATTTCGAAAGATTTTGATAATTGCAAAGCGAACTGAGGTTCGATCTCGAAAAATTTCGATATTTTCGTACCGATCGAGGTTCGAATTCGAAAAATTCACAACTTTTGATTACAGTGGAGTTTCGAATTCGAAAAGTTCGAAGCTTTTACGGTTTCTAAAATTTCGGATTCGAATATTTCGAATATTTTTTTACTTCAGGTTCGATAAATTCGAAGATTTCGAAATTCTTTTGAAATAAAATTCGAAAACTTCGAACGCTTCGAATTTTTATGGACATGAAGTTCGAACAATCAGAATATTTCAAATTTGTTTCTGCATAAAGTTAGAAAAGTTCAAAGGTTTCGATTCTCTTTTAACGCTAAAGTCGAAAAAAAAAAAAAACTTCGAAGATTTTGAATTCCTTTCTAGTCCAAGTTTTCAAAGTTCGAAGTCCGGTTTTCAAGTTCCTCCACAGTTTTAGTTTCAAATAACGTTTTCATGACTCACTGGTTTTCACAGAATCAAGTTTAGAAAAGTTAGCGTGTGATATCTAAATTCTGCGAAGTTGGATCAGGCAATTAAATGAGACGACGAGTGTCCCGGATGTGCTGGAATATTTGCCAGTGCAGAGTGACGTGTGACCATAGATCAGTAATTGTGACCGCCAGCCCGGGGGGGGGACTTTAACATGCATCACGCAGTAGTAATCACACAAACACAGTTTTACGAGACTCATCCAGTTCGAAACGGCCAGGGGCGAGCAGGAGGTTGAGGCTCAGGAAAACCTTGAAGCGGCCTGGCAAACTACCTCGCCGCCTTGCACGCTGGTAGTAATCCGATCGAACGCAGCCCGAGTGACGCTGGTTTGTAATTGTCCTGGAGGTTTATTTTCTGGGACGAAGGAATCGCCTCGCAAAAAGCCGACACAACTCGAGGTCGAGGAGCGTT